GAAGCATAGAGAAGCGAAGCTAAGAGAAGCACAGCAAAGCTAGGCGAAGCTAAGCAAAGCGAAGCGAAGCTAAGAGAAGCTAAGCGAAGCAAAGCAAAGCTAAGCGAAGCAAAACAAAGTTAAGCGAAGCTAAGCGAAGCGAAGCTAAGCGAATCGAAGCAAAGCTAAGCGAAGAGAAGCGAAGAGAAGCGAAGCGAAGCCAAGCAAAGCGAAGCTAAGCGAAGCTAAGAGAAGGGAAGCGAAGCGAAGCGAAGCTAAGCGAAGCAAGGCGAAGCTAAGCGAAGCTAAGGGAAGCGAAGCGAAGCGAAGAGAAGCGAAGAGAAGTGAAGCAAAGCTAAGCGAAGCTAAGCGAAGTGAAGCGAAGCTAAGGGAAGCGAAGCAAAGTGAATCTAAGCAAAGCAAGGCGAAGCTAAGCGAAGCTAGGCGAAGCGAAGCAAAGAGAAGCAAAGAGAAGCGAAGCGAAGAGAAGCGAAGCTAATTGAAGCAAAGCAAAGCAAAGCGCAGCTATGCGAAGTGAAGCGAAGCTAAGCAAAGCTAAGCGAAGCTAAGGGAAGCGAACCGAAGCTAAGGGAAGCGAAGCAAAGCTAAGTGAAGCGAAGCAAATCAAAGCTAAGCGAAGCGAAGAGAAGCGAAGACAAGCGAAGCGAAGCGAAGCAAAGCGAAGCGAAGAGAAGCATAGAGAAGCGAAGCTAAGAGAAGCACAGCAAAGCTAGGCGAAGCTAAGCAAAGCGAAGCGAAGCTAAGAGAAGCTAAGCGAAGCAAAGCAAAGCAAAGCGAACCTAAGAGAAGCGAAGCGAAGAGAAGCGAAGCAAAGCAAAGCGAAGCTAAGCGAAGCTAAGAGAAGGGAAGCGAAGCAAGGTGAAGCTAAGCGAAGCTAAGGGAAGCGAAGCGAAGCGAAGAGAAGCTAAGAGAAGCGAAGCAAAGCTAAGCGAAGCTAAGCGAAATGAAGCGAAGCTAAGGCAAGCGAAGCAAAGCGAATCTAAGCGAAGCAAAGCGAAGCTAGGCGAAGCGAAGCAAAGAGAAGCAAAGAGAAGCGAAGCTTATTGAAGCAAAGCAAAGCTAAGCGCAGCTATGCGAAGTGAAGCGAACCTAAGCAAAGCTAAGCGAAGCTAAGGGAAGCGAACCGAAGCTAAGGGAAGCGAAGCAAAGCTAAGTGAAGCGAAGCAAATCGAAGCTAAGCGAAGCGAAGAGAAGCGAAGAAAAGCGAAGCGAAGCTAAGTGAAGCAAAGCGAAGCTAAGCGAAGCGAAGCGAAGCGAAGAGAAGCATAGAGAAGCGAAGCTAAGAGAAGCACAGCGAAGCTAAGCTAAGCGAAGCAAAGCGAATCTAAGCTAAGTGAAGTGAAGCTAAGCGAAGCTAAGCGAATCTAAGCGAGCGAAGCAAAGCGAATCTAAGCTAAGCGAAGTGAAGCTAAGAGAAGAAAAACGAAGCTAAGCGCAGCTATGCGAAGCGAAGCGAAGCGAAGCGAAGCAAAGCAAAGTGAAGCTAAGCAAACTGAAGCTAAGGGAAGCAAAGCGAAGCGAAGCGAAGCTAATCGAAGCTAAGCGAACCTAAGCGAAGCGAAGCTAAGCGAATCTAAGCGCAGCTATGCGAAGCGAAGCAAAGCTAAGGGAAGCGAAGCTAAGCTAAGCTTAACGCAGCTATGCGAAGCGAAGCAAGGCTAAGCGAAGCTAGGAGAAGCGAACAGAAGCTAAGGAAAGCGAAGCGAAGCAAAGCTAAACGAAGTTAAGCGAATCTAAGCAAAGCTAAGCGAAGCTAAGCGAAAAGAAGCGAAGCGAAGCTAAGCAAAGCGAAGCTAAGCGAAGCAAAGCAACGTTAAGGGAAGCTAAGCGAAGCAAAGCTAAGCGAATCTAAGCGAAGCTAAGCGAAGCAAAGCGAAGCTAAGCGAAGAGAAGCAAAGAGAAGCGTAGCGAGAGAAGCGAAGCTAAGAGAAGCAAAACGAAGCTAAGCGCAGCTATGCGAAGCGAAGCGAAGCTAAGCGAAGCGAAGTGAAGCTAATGGAAGCAAACCGAAGCAAAGAAAGCTAAGGGAAGCTAAGCGAAGCGAAGCAAAGCGAAGCGAATCTAAGCGAACCTAAGCGAAGCAAAGCGAAGCGAAGCGAAGCTAAGCAAAGCTAAGCGAAGCTAAGCGAAGAAGAGCGAAGCAAAGCCAAGCGAAGCTAAACGAAGCTAAGCGAAGCGAAGTGAAGCTAAGCGAAGAGAAGCGAAGCTAAGCATAGCGAAGCTAGGTGAAGCAAAGCGAATCTAAGCGAAGCTAAGCGAAGCAAGGCGAAGCAAAGCAAGGTTTAGCAAAGCTAAGCGAAGCTAAGCGAAGAGAAGCGAAGCAAAGCCAAGCGAAGCTAAACGAAGCTAAGCAAAGCTAAGCGAAGCGAAGCGAAGCTAAGCATAGCGAAGCTAAGTGAAGCAACGCGAAGTTAAGCGAAGCTAAGCGAAGCTAAGCAAAGAGAAGCGAAGAGAAGCCAAGCGAAGCCAAGCGAAGCGAAGCGAAGCAAAGCCAAGCGAAGCTAAACGAAGCTAAGCGAAGCAAAGCAAAGCGAAGCTAAGCAAAGCAAAGCGAAGTTTAGCGAAGCTAAGCAAAGCGAAGCAAATCTAAGCGAAGCATAGCAAAGCGAAGCGAAGCTAAGCGATGCTAAGCGAAGCGAAGGGAAGAGAAGCGAAGCGAAGCCAAGCGAGGCTAAGCGAAGAGAAGCGAAACAAAGCCAAGCGAAGCTAAACGAAGCTATGCAAAGCGAAGCGAAGCGAAGCGAAGCGAAGCCAAGCAAAGCGAAGCTAAGCGAAGCTAAGAGAAGGGAAGCGAAGCGAAGCGAAGCTAAGTGAAGCAAGGCGAAGCTAAGCAAAGCTAAGGGAAGCGAAGCGAAGCGAAGAGAAGCGAAGAGAAGCGAAGCAAAGCTAAGTGAAGCTAAGTGAAGTGAAGCGAAGCTAAGGGAAGCGAAGCAAAGCGAATCTAAGCGAAGCAAGGCGAAGCTAAGCAAAGCTAGGCGAAGCGAAGCAAAGAGAAGAATAGAGAAGCGAAGCGAAGAGAAGCAAAGCTAATTGAAGCAAAGCAAAGCTAAGCGCAGCTATGCGAAGCAAAGCGAAGCTAAGCAAAGCTAAGCGAAGCTAAGGGAAGCGAAGCAAATCGAAGCTAAGCGAAGCGAAGAGAAGCGAAGACAAGCGAAGCGAAGCTAAGTGAAGCAAAGCGAAGCTAAGCGAAGCGAAGAAAAGCATAGAGAAGCGAAGCTAAGAGAAGCACAGCGAAGCTAAGCGAAGCAAAGCAAAGAGAATCTAAGCTTAGCGAAGTGAAGCTAAGCGAAGCTAAGCGAATCTAAGCGAGCGAAGCAATGCAAATCTAAGCTAAGCAAAGTGAAGGTAAGCGAATCTAAGCGAAGCTAAGCGATGCGAAGCAATCTAAGTGAAGCTAAGCGAATCAAAGCTAAGTGAAGCGAAGCAAAGCGAACAGAAGCAAAGAGAAGCGAAGCGAAGAGAAGCGAAGCTAAGCGCAGCTATGTGAAGCGAAGCAAAGCTAAGCGAAGCGAAGTGAAGCTAAGGGAAGCGAACTGAAGCTAAGGGACGCTAAGCTAAGTGCAGCTATGCGAAGCGAAGCAAGGCTAAGCGAAGCTAAGAGAAGCGAACGGAAGCTAAGGAAAGCGAAGCGAAGCGAAGCTAAGCGGAGCAAAGCAAAGCAATGCGAACGAAGCGAATCTAAGCGAAGCTAAGCGAAGCGAAGCAAAGCTACGCGAAGCTAAGCGAAGAGAAGCGAAGCGAAGCGATGCGAAGCTAAGCGAAGCTAAGCAAAACGAAGCAAAGCAAAGTTAAGGGAAGCATAGCGAAGCAAAGCTAAGCGAAGCGAAAGGAAGCTAAGCCAAGCGAAGCGAAGTTAAGCGAATCTAAGCAAAGCTAAGCGAAGCAAAGCGAAGCTAAGCGAAGCTAAGCGACGCTAAGCGAAGCTAACCGAAGCTAAGCGAAGCTAAGCGAAGCAAAGCGAAGAGAAGCAAAGAGAAGCGTAGCGAAGAGAAGCGAAGCTAAGAGAAGAAAATCGAAGCTAAGCGCACCTATGCGAAGCGAAGGGAAGCGAAGTGAAGCGAAGCAAAGCAAAGCTAAGCGAACTGAAGCTAAGGGAAGCGAAGCTAAGCGAAGCAAAGCGAAGCGAGCCGAAGCTTAGCGAAGCGATGCGAAGCTAAGCGAAGCGAAGCTAAGCGAATCTAAGCGCAGCTATGCGAAGCGAAGCAAAGCTAAGGGAAGCGAAGTGAAGCTAAGGGAAGCGAAGCGAAGCTAAGCTAAAAGCAGCTATGCGAAGCGAAGCAAGGCTAAGCAAAACTAGGAGAAGCGAACAGAAGCTAAGGAAAGCGAAGCGAAGCAAAGCGAAGCAAAGCTAAGCGAATCTAAGTGAAGCTAAGCGAGCGAAAAGAAGCGAAGCGAAGCGCAGCGAAGCTAAGCAAAGCGAAGCTAAGCGAAGCAAAGCAACGTTAAGGGAAGCTAAGCGAAGCGAAGCTAAGCGAATCTAACCGAAGCTAAGCGAAGCAAAGCGAAGCTAAGCGAAGAGAAGCAAAGAGAAGCGTAGCGAGAGAAGCGAAGCTAAGAGAAGCAAAACGAAGCTAAGCGCAGCTATGCGAAGCGAAGCGAAGCTAAGCGAAGCGAAGTGAAGCTAATGGAAGCAAACATAAGCAAAGAAAGCTAAGCGAAGCGAAGCGAAGCGAAGCGAAGCAAAGCGAAGCGAATCTAAGCGAAGCAAAGCGAAGCTAAGCGAAGAGAAGCGAAGCAAAGCCAAGCGAAGCTAAACGAAGCTAAGCGAAGCTAAGCATAGCGAAGCTAGGTGAAGCAAAGCGAATCTAAGCGAAGCTAAGCGAAGCAAAGCGAAGCGAAGCGAAGCTTGTTGTGTGATGTCATCATATGCTATCACATTCTGTCTGCCTCCCATCTCTTGTTTCAATTCGTATGTATGGTTTGACTCTGTGTGAAAGAATTTGTGTGTGGTGTGTTCTGGAGTTTGGAAATGTGTTTTGTGTTATTCTGTCTGAGCCGGTATTTGTGATGATAGATCTTGAGAAGATCTTTCCGACGCAACAAGAATCGCTTCAATCGGAGCAAGAACGCGAAAGCTATGAAGATTCAAAGTTCATGAGCTTGCGTTACAATTGCGGCGGTTACAAAGTGAAGTTGTGGGGTGACTTTATATGGAGTTGGGACCTTTGGGGTTGGGGAAATTTGTCACTCTACTGTAACAGCTGCAAATTGGTTGGGAACAACCAAGCTAGGTTGGCAAGGGTGGCCAACTTGGATGGATTGGTTGGGAAGGGACAAATGTCAAAATTGGGGTTCCTATAGGGGGGGAATCTTTGTGATAATGGGGTTTCCTTGGTTGGGGACTCTCTTGGGACCATCCCTCTCATCCCTCTCTTTCTATCCCAACCTTTCTCTTGCTCCTCTAATTCCTTGTGAGATTCTTGAACTTTGATTAAACTTTTGAGATTGAGTTAAGTTCTCCTCCTACAGCTTACCCCCTAGTGCGTCGAAAGCCATAGCGTCGCGAATACTTCATTAATCAACGTGGTTTGAATTGGGAACGGTAGCTGAGCTTAAGAGCTACAACATATCCAAGTTTCGCGACATTCCAACGGCTAGATTTTTGTCGACGTCGTTTCTTGTGAGGACGACTTTTCTGTCCAGAATTTCGGATTGATATTTTGAGTAATTCTAGCTCCTAAGTTCACCTAGACTCCGTCCTTAATCCTAACAAGTGGTATCAGAGCAATATTAAGGACATTGAGAGGAGTCTACAGAAGTTTTGAAGACCCTTCTAGACCCACCATGGCCTGTGGGTGTGCCTAAGTGGTGTTCTAAAGGTTGGATGTGTCTTCCGCTAAGGGGAAACTCTGCCGAAATTTCGTGGACGCCGATACTTGTGAAAATATCGAGGGAGCTGAGTGTGGACAGCAAAGGGGAGCTGAAACTCGTCATTTCTCAAGGAGAAGATGAATGAGAGAGGAGGAGATGCTAATGGGAGAGGAGCTGTACCTGAAAAGACAAGTGAGCCGCCGCCATCAAAAGTTGAAGCTTTGGATGGCTCCAATTATGAGGAAAGGAGCGGTCGGATGAGGAGTGCCTTCAAACGCTACAAGCTCCTGAAGATTGCTGTTGGGAAAGAGAAGATGCCGGAAGAAGGCGAAGCACGCGAACGGTGGATTGAGAAAAGCGCGGTGCTTTTCGACCTCATCCTTCAATCGGTCAACAAGGAGATGTTCGAGCACATCAAGGATCTTGTGGAAGCGGATGATTCGGGTCCAAGGGCGTGGAAACTACTACGCGATGTGATTCAGCCCAACACTCTCCCGATGGTGATCGTGCTCGAGAAGGAACTTGCTGCCATCTCCATGCGACCAGGGGACGATGTGAAGCCGGTCCTTGACAAGATCAAGGACACCTATGCAAGGATGGCAGCAGCGGGCAGCAGTGTATCTCAGCTGCAGCAGTGCACCAAGATCATCTCGGTGTTGGACAACTCTTGGGACAACCTCATCCCCACCCTCAACTCTCAGCAAGATCAATGGACACCTGAGTGGCTAAGGCAGCAGATTCTGCAGGAGGACTTCCGCAGACGCCATGTGGGAGGTGGTGCTTCCACTAAGACTGCTGAGGGGTATGGAGCTGCAGGGCGCGGCAGAGGAAGAGGGGGTTGGAGAGGCCGAGGCCGTGGGAGGAGCTTTGGCAGAGGTAGTGGCCGAGGTGACTATAATGAGGGGCATGGGAGCTCTAGTGGCAAGGGGAGTACCAGAATGGAGGGCACCTGCTGGTACTGCAAGAAGGTCGGGCATCCTTGGTTTAAGTGCTTGAGCAGGCCGGAGGGATGGGCACCTCCAGGCATGAAGCCGCCCAGTGGTGAACGCGCACAAGGTGGCGCTGTGCAAGGCTCAGGTGCACAAGGTGAAGGTGCACAAGGTAATACCTATCCTGGGATGTTTCTCATGGTTGAGGATGTGCATAGGCATGAGGGTGATGTGGGATCTGTGGGAAAGGTTGTGATGCACCCTCTCACGCACTGGGTGATTGATTCGGGTTGCACCAGTCACATGACCCCACGGGCAGATTTGCTTGATGAGGTAAAACCCCCTGGGAAGATTAAGTATGTGGCAGCAGTGTCAGGTGCTTTGCTCCCTATCATTGGTGTTGGGAATGCCAAGGTTAAGGGAGCTAATGGGGAACTTGTGGGGCTTGGGAATGTTCTGCTGGTTGAAGGTTTGTCTGCTAACCTTCTCTCTGTGCGACGACTGCAGAAGAGTAAGGCCGAAGTGACCTTTGGACGAACCAGCTGCCGTGCTAAGCTTGGGAAGAAGGTGTTGTGGAGTCTGGAAGAGGAGAGCAGCTGCATCAAGGATCTGTGGCAGCTGCCCATCATCCCTTGGAATGGGAAGACTCCAACAGCAGCAACGGCAGCAGCGGCAAAGGCAACAGAAGGAGGAGATGCAACTGCACCAACTGATGGGGTCCTGGAAGCAGTCAAGAAAGTGCAGCAGCAGCAGACACTTGGTGAGGTGCTTGCTGGTGTGGATGCGAGCGCGGCATGGGCCAAGGCTTCATCTAGGAGTGGTGGGGCCAATTGGGAGACATGGCATGAGAGGTTGTGTCATGTGAACTTCCCTATGCTGCAGAAGTTGGTGAAGGATGGGAGCCTGAAAGGCTTGGAGGTGAAAGGGGAGTGAAGGAGATTGGGAGCTGCCCTACATGCTTGGAGACCAAGTTCTCCAAGTTCCCCTTCAACAGCACTACAGGACCAGCCAAGACCCCACTTGCACTTGTGCACATGGATGTGGTGGGGCCCACAAGAGCCCTTCCCTCTCAGGCAGCCGCTATTTCTTGACAATTGTGGATGACCACACTCGGGCAGTGTGGGTTTACCCTTTGAAGAGCAAGGGGGAGGTGGCAGCGGCTGTCCTTAAGGAGTGGATGCCTAGAGCTCAGAGGGAATGCGGACACAAGGTGAAGGTGATCCGCAGTGACAATGGTGGGGAGTTCATTGGAGCTGATTTTGAGGGGGAGTTGAAGAGGAAGGGGATCCAGCATCAACTGACAGTGCCCTACAACCCGCAGCAGAATGGCGTGGCTGAGAGGTTCAACAGGACCCTGCAGGAGGGGGCACGCACTCTCCTTGGGCGTGCAGGGCTGCCTGATCCGTTTTGGGTGTCTGCACTGAGGCAGGTCGCCCTTGTGAAGAATAGGGTGCTGGCTACAGTTGGGGAGAAGGAGTGGATCCCATATACCAAGTGGTATGGGAGTGCTCCAGCTGTGAACATGCTGAGGGCATTTGGGTGCATGGTGTGTTTCATGTGCCTAAGGAGAAAAGGGGAAGTTGGAGGCTTCTGGAAGATGGGGTGTGCACTTGGGGATTGCAAAGGATCACAAGGGATGGCTGCTATGGGACTTGACCATCCAGAAGCTGACAGTGTCAAGGGATGTGAAGTTTCTTGAGTCCCTGTACTATAAGGAATGGAAGCAGCAGCAACAGAAGCTTCCATCTACACCACTCATTGTGGAGGCAGATGAGTTGCAGCAGCCTTCAAGGCAGGTGGAGGTTGCAGTGTCTGAGGAGGAGATGTCTGGGGTGACTGAAGAAGGGGGAGCAGCTGAAGTGGAGCAGCAAGCAGCAACATGAGTCTCCACCTCGAGTTCCACACCCGCCTGAGCGACCTAGGAGGGATGTGCGCCCTCCGTGAGGCTGACCTATGGGGGAAGAGGCAAGCCAAATGTGGTGCAGGCTGGGAGTGTGGTTGAGCAGATTGAGGAAGATGAGATCGCTCACTGCTACTGGGCACCAATCCCTGAGCCCAAGACTCGAGAGGAGGCCTTGAATGGACCAAATGGGGAGAAGTGGAAGGCGAGTGAGGATGAGGAGTTCGGGTCCCTGATTGAAAACGAGACATGGGACCTGTGTGACTTGCCTCCTGGGAAGAAGGCAATCACTTCCAAGATGATCTACAGGCACAAGTATGGACCTGAAGGGGAGCTGACCCGCTACAAGTCTAGGCTTGTGGCAAGGGGGTTTCAGCAGACAAAGGGGAAGGACTATGATGAGGTGTTTGCTCCTGTGGGGAAAGGAACAACACTGAGGGTGCTGTTGGCGATAGCTGCACTCCTGGGATGGAAGATACGGCAGATGGACATTGTGACTGCCTTTCTGAATGGGATCATTATGGAGGAGGTGTACATGAAGCAGCCAGAGGGGCTGGATGATGGGAGCGGCAGGGTCTGCAGGCTGAAGAAGGCCATCTATGGCCTTAAGCAGGCGCCTCGTGCATGGTATCACAAGTTGGAGGAGGCGCTGTTGGCTGGGGGTTTCAAGAAGAGTGAGTGTGACCCCAGCCTGTTCCTGCTGCAGGAGAAGGATGAAATCCTCATGCTCTTGGTGTACGTGGATGATATCCTTCTCTTTTCTGCATCCACTGCTTTGCTGGACAGCGCAGAGCAGATGCTGGAGATGCAGTTCAAGTGCTCCAAGATGGGTGAGGTGAAGTACTACTTGGGGATGCACGTGGAGAGAGATGTGGAAAAGGGTGTGCTGAGGTTGCACCAGAGGAAGTACTGTGAGGGGCTGGCTGAGAAGTATGGGCTGCAAGATGGGGGAAAGCCAGCAACACCACTACCTTCGGGTTCACTGTGGAGCCATGTGCTGATGAGGAGGTAGTGGGTGATAGTGACAGGAAGCTGTTTCATTCGATGGTTGGGTCGCTGAATTATGCTGCAAATCATACACGGCCTGACATTGCATTTGCTACATCACGGTTGGCTAGTGTGGTCTCACGCCCTAGTCATGAGCAGCTGGAAGCGGCCAAGAGGTTGGTCCGCTATGTGAGTGCTACGGCATCAGTGGGATTGGAGTACAGTGGAGTGAGGCAGCGGTTGCAGAGAGGTGCTGCAGATGTGAAGAGTGGAGAGATGCTCTTGAGTTGCTATACTGACGCTAGCTTCAACTCAGTGAAAGCGGATGGCACCAGCATTGGGGGTTATGTGTGCTTGCTAGGAGGTGGTGCTGTGAGCTGGCGCAGCAAGAAGCAAAATGAGGTGGGATTGTCTTCATGTGAGACTGAGTACATGGCCTTACACCATGGGGCCAAGGAAGTGGTATGGCTGAGGCGTTTGTTGGAGGAGTTGGGAGTTGGTCAGGAGAAGCCGACAGTTGTGTTTTGTGACAATGAGTCCGCTGTGAAGCTCGCCAAGAATGCTTGTCTGCATGGGCTGACAAAACACATAAGGCCTAAGTGGCATTGGGTGAGGAGACTCCTTGATAAGGAGGTGCGGCTGGAGATAGTGAAGACCCATCAGCAGGCAGCAGATATTTTCACTAAGCGTCTGGCGGAGGCGGATCATTGGAAGGGCATGAAGCTTGCTGGGATGAGTGTGCATTGAGTATGCATGCTTGAGATGTGGTATGGTCGATGATGGTTGGCAGCCAGAGGGGGAGATTGTTGTGTGATGTCATCATATGCTATCACATTCTGTCTGCCTCCCATCCCATGTTTTTTCAACTTGCATGTGTGGTTTGAATGTGCAAGCATTTGTGTGTGGTGTGTTCTGGAGTTTGGGAATGTGTTTTGTGTTATTCTGTCTGAGCAGGTATTTGTGATAATAGATCTTGAGAAGATCTTTCCGACGCAACAAGAATCGCTTCAATCGGAGCAAGAACGCGAAAGCTATGAAGATTCAAAGTTCATGAGCTTGCGTTACAATTGCGGCGGTTACTAAGTGAAGTTGTGGGGTGACTTTATATGGAGTTGGGACCTTTGGGGTTGGGGAAACTTGTCACTCTACTGTAACAGCTGCAAATTGGTTGGGAACAACCAAGCTAGGTTGGCAAGGGTGGCCAACTTGGATGGATTGGTTGGGAAGGGACAAATGTCAAAGTTGGGGTTCCTATAGGGAGGGAATCTTTGTGCTTATGGGGTTTTCCTTGGTTGGGGACTCTCTTGGGACCTTCCCTCTCATCCCTCTCTTCCTATCCCAACCTTTCTCTTGCTCCTTCTAATTCCTTGTGAGATTCTTGAACTTTGATTGAACCTTTGAGATTGAGTTAAGTTCTCCTCCTACAGCTTACCCCCTAGTGCGTCGAAAGCCATAGCGTCGCGAATACTTTATCAATCAACATGATTCAAATTGGGAACGGTAGCTGAGATTAAGAGCTACAACATATCCAAGTTTCGCGACATTCCAACGGCTAGTTGTTTGTCGACGTCGTTTCTTGTGAAGACGACTTTTCTGTCCAGAATTTCGGATTTATATTTTGAGTAATTCTAGCTCCTAAGTTCACCTAGACTCCGTCCTTAATCCTAACAAGGAGGAGGAGGAGCCATAGAATGGCGTGAGGTTTAGGAAGGAGAAAATTACGAGAGAGAAGCGAGTTGGAATAGAAGAGAGAGGGATACAAGAAGGGGGGTTGTACCCTCTACAGTAGAATTGATTAACACCTACCAAGCCTACCATTATTTATATATATATATATCAAATCTATATTTTGACACACCCCGTAGGCTTGGTAGCTGAAAGCCCACCACACACATAGCACACTAAGCCACACACCCTCTAGCTCCCCCATACTAAGCAGCAGTGACGGCTACTTCAGCATGGTCAATCCCACGTCGCGTAAGGCAGGGCGACGTCGACAGCGAGGGCAGCGGCTGCAATGGCGGCGACGGAGGCAGCGTTGACAGCGGCGGCGGCATCGGCGGCTTTGACGGCAGCTGCCGTCGGTGGCGGAGCTCGCAGCACTCGGTGGCGTGGCCGGTCTCCGCGACGGTGGGACGGCCGGCGCGAGTCAGCCGTCGGCTGCGGCGAGGAAGAGGGGACGCAGGGGAAGGGGGGCGGGGCTTCAGCAGCGGAGCCCAGGAGCGTGCCGCCCCGTGTGGCTCGCTGGCTACATGCGGGCGTGCTGGCCAGCGCTAAGACGGGGCGCTGGCCGCTGCCGTCCGTGCCGTCCGCGCGCTGGCAGCACGTCGCCACGGCAGCACGACGGCGCCGTCACACCGCCACAGCTTGACGTCAACGCCACGACAGCGCGACGCAACGGCAGCGCGTCGAAACGGCGATGGCCGCGGCAGCACGACGCGGCCGGCGGCAGGAAGACGCCGCCACAGCAGCACGACGCGGCCGCCATGGCAGCGAGAGAGAGAGAGAGGAGGAGTGCGCCGCGGAAGCGAGAGAAGAAGGTCCAGCAGGTTGAACCTGCTTTGTTACCATGTTAGTATACGCTAGCCAGAAAAAGGAGAAGCCATGGAATGGCGTAAGGTTTAGGAAGGAGAAAGTTACGAGAGAGAAGCGAGTTGGAATAGAAGAGAGAGGGATACAAGAAGGGGGGTTGTACCCTCTACAGTAGAATCCAGTAACACCTACCAAGCCTACTATTATATATATGTCAAATATATAATTTACTAACAGTCACATCGGGGATTACTTGTAATGACTGTTCGGCCTCGATAAATGGAGTGCCTTCCTTTTAGAATGTGGGAGAGTGTAAGGAAATACGATTCCTTACTGGGGCTCGCCACAGCGAGTACACGCGAACCTCTCAGTTCCGCAGGCTCGGCCCTCAAGTCACGTTCCAAACCAGCCCCCGCCGACCTCGTCGGCCCCAACCTGATCCCGAGTCGCCCCGAACCCCTTTTGACCCTGTCACCGTCGGGTCTATCGAGCCCTTGAATGGTCCAACCCTCGACATTCAACCCTGGTCAAACGCCCTATATATTCCCTAGGCCTCATTTATATCGATATTCTGTAATCACGTTCCCCTACAGTATTCTGTGCTATACTCTGAGCTATAATTCATAACAATAGGTTGCTCCGCAACCCCAAAAAACATCAGACACTCTGTGTTCTCTGTGTATTGTTGAGCTTAAAACCTGAGTGCGGTGCGGTTTAATTAAGTGCCTAGGTTTAGAAATTGGTGCACTAAAAATGAAAACGATCATATAGGGTTGCTACGCAACCCAACAAAATTGTCTCGCGTCTTACAACTCCTGACACCTGCTTGACTGGGAAACACACCGTTTGCAGACAAACCTACTGGGATAGAATTGGCGCAAGTGCATCGCCCGCCAATGTACACAGGGCTTCAGAAGTCATGACAAAATGCCCTGAAATGCTGTATATCAGGGTTTTTTTTAGGGTCGTCATGTTTTTTCAGCTTTTGATTTTTCCTAGGCCTGAATTTTAGGGGTTGTCATTTGAGCAGGCCTGAAATATTGTATGTTCTTGTTTTGGTCACCCTGAATTATCAGCCTTAACGGATTTCCAGCCTGAAACAGAATTCTATCTGACTGGTCGAGGCGAGCTGGAGCAGCTGTGAGGGGCGTGTCTTGTCCTTAGCCAAAATGACGCAGGTGACGCAAGCTGGAGCACATGTGAGGGGCGTGATTGGTCCTTCGCCAAAATCATGCAGGCAGTTTGATACGAGCTGGAGCGATTTGAGGGGCGTGATTGGACCTTAGGCAAAATTACGCAGGTAACGCGCGTTGGAGCAGATGTGAGGGGCGTGATTGGTCCCCCAAAATCACGCAGGCAGTCTGACGCGAGTTGGAGCATGTGTGAGGGGCGTGACCGGTCCTTGGCTAAAATCACGCTAGTAGTGTGAGAATTTGTACGCAATGAAGTCCGATTTGATCTAAGGATTATGATTCATAAACCTACAAAATGTACCTGATGAGTCAGGCTTCTTTTTTTTTGTATGACAAAACATGCCATGTCTAACATAATGTGCTAGGTTAAAATCCCACCCACCCTAAAAAATCGTCAAGGTTCAACCTATCATCTCAGCTCTAAAAAATTTCAGTCCTGATTTTTCAGCCTCTGAAAAGTTTTACCCTGAAAACAATTGCAACTTCCAAAACCCGACCCTGAAAAACGGGGGCTCCTTCTGGGGGCACCCTAAGCCAACAGCCCCTCAAAATCCAATATGAAGCCCTGAATCAGGGCCTCAGAAGTCAGGCCAAAAAGGTTTGAAAGCTTGTATATTAGGGTGTTTTCTAAGGCATACCCTGATTTTTCAGGTTTTGATTTTTGTCAAACCTGGAATTTATGTGTTCCCGTTTTCTAAGGCCTGAAAAATAGTATGTTCTTGTTTTACCGAGCCTGACGAATCAGCCTTACTCGAAATTCGCCCTGGATCTGAATCTTATATGTCAAGGCGAGCTTGAGCACGTGTGAGGGGCATAACTGGTCCTTGACTAGAATCACGCAAATTCGAGGCGAGGTGGGGCAGGTGTGAGGGGTGTGATTGGTCCTTGACAAAAAAATGACGCAAGTTCGAGGCGAGCTAGAGCAGGAATGAGGGGCGTGATTGGTCCTTGACCACAATCACGGAACTTCATTGCGAGCTAGAACAGGCGTGGGGGGCGTGATTGGTCCTTGACCAGAATCACGCAAGTTCGAGGCGAGCTGGAGGAGGTGTGAGGGGGTTGATTGGTCCTTAGTTAAAATCATGCAGGAATCTAACGAAAAGAATTGTACGCAGTGAAGTCTGATCCGACCTAAGAATCAGAAAATACAAAAATGTAGGCTTGATAAGTCAGACTAAAAAAAACAATTGGCCTGAAAAAACATGCCACGCCCAAAACCCGACCCTGAAAAATATGGGCCCTCACATGGGCGACCCTGAGCAATCAGCCTCCCTAAAACCAATCTGAGGGCCTGCCCTGAATGTTACACCTCCCAATTCGCTTTTGCAACAACTCGTTTTAGAGCTGTACATGGACAGCTGAGATGTGACGGTTTGCTGTACATGGACAACTCGTTTTGCGACTTTCTGCATCTCTGTAGGGGCACGACCGTCAAAGTCACTAGACCCAAGGTTGAGCCTCTAAACCAGGGCTTATTTTTGACGGGTAATGTTCCGTATTTTGACCAAATAACGGGTGGATTTTCGCCCAAAATCGGATTGCGTCATGTTCGATTTTCATGAACCCTGATTTGACGGGTACAGTTAGACCAGAACACGGGACGTGACGTGTTCGGTTTTGAGAATCACGGATACTAAAACTTCTCACACCACCCCATAGATCCCCCCGCCATTCCCTCCCCCCAGGACACATCAGCCCTAGCAAGGAAGTTCAAGAAGTAGATGTATAAGAGCTGAGCGCAGTACTCTGACGCGGTTCCCTTTGTAGAATCCAGAAACTTTTCGTAAGAGCGTTTGTCATCACGGAAAAAATCCGGGACTGAACCCGAACATTGACGGGTAACGTTTCAGATGAACCCGTTTAATCCGGGTACCACGAGAGAGATACCCGGATCTGCCGTGTGGACGACAACCCTAAGGTAAGCCCTGCTCTAAACCCCCCGGCTCCTTCGACCACGGGTCAACCTCGGGTCAGACCTAAGGTTCAGAATTTAGGATAATACATGGTGAAATCTCGCCTCGGCCTTGCTTTTGACGCATTTAGAATATCGATACCCGTCTATAAATTTTCATAAGGGAATTCGCTCCCCTAGTAAAAAAAATTCCCCTCATCATTGTCGGGGATGGCATGTTCCGAGCTGGTCGAAACTCTAGCCTGCCAAATCAGTCCTAAAGCTTAGGGCTACCCAGCCTGGACTATACACTCGGATTCTGGATCTGGATCACCACCCCTCTTCCTCGAGCCTTCTCCGCCACCCCTCGCTTGCTGCCGTGCCACGTCAGACTCTCCCCAGCCCTCACAGCGAGTCCTTCTTCCTATCCCGCTTTCCCGTCCACCTCCATTGACTCCCCCCCCACCTTCCATTCGCAGCTCACCCCAGCAGCCCTGCCCCTCGAGTTCGTCCAGTTAGCAACACCACATCACGAGAGCCATTGTCCCCGTCTCGGCATCTGTTAGCAGCCAGTCCTCGTCATAATAGGCGCAACAGGCGCAACAGCCACAGCCATGGCGACCATCCCTTGCCCCTCCGCCTGCGTTAGGTCTAGCAGCCGCCAAGTGCCGGCCAGTTCAGCATCAGCGAGGCCGTCGCAGTGCGGCGCAGTGTCGTTTAGCGGCCTTCGTACGACGACGTCCGTGTCGCAGGTCGCAGCTGCCAAGACCTGTAGATCAGCTCTACCCTCTCGGAGCAGCAGCGCCTCTCGCGGCGTTGTCACATGCGGGCTCGATGACTTTATCGGAGGTGATCTTATCGGGCTCGATCTGGGTCAGTGGGTGGATGACGTGGAGCGGTACGGAGCGGTGGGCTTCTATTCCCCAGCGGAGGGTGGCGCGGAGGGGCGGTACGCGACGAGCCTGAAGTACGCGGGGTACCACTTGATGAACATCTCGGCGCGCGGCCTCGGCGACCCCGAGGCGTACCTCCTCAAGACCCACGGCGTGCGCCCGGTGCGTGCCCATGCCCCATGCCTCATGCCCCATGCGCCATGCGTCATGCGTCACGCTTCACCCCGAGGCCGTCTCCTCGCCATTGCTGCGCGGCGCAATCGCCGAGTCTTCGCAGTGGTCAAGGCCCCCCTCTCCCCCCACACGTCTCCCTCTCGGATTCACCGCGTGCTCCACGCGCCGTTGCTGCTCACCTCGTTGCCCGCGTCGCCGCACCAACGTCGCTTCCTCCCGCCCATCCTTGGTCGTTCAGTCATGGGCGCTCGGTGGCTGCGCGATCAGCTACTGCCAGTGCCTGGTGCAGCGGATAAGCGCGGGCATTCAGAGGTTTCGTATGGCCCACCTCGCAATGCGCCTGTAGTCCACTTGGCAATCCTCCTCGGCTTTGCCGTCGCTGCATTGGTGGACGCACTCTCGAAAGGTGCAAGTCGCGCCCGCCTCTTGGGACGTCGCCGCCTTCCACCTGCCGGCTGAGGTGGACCACCGCCTGCCCGTGCCGCCTCCCCGTGCTGCATCCTCCCTCCTCCCATCCTCCCACTCCCCCTCCTCCCCCTCTCCCTCGTGTCTCAGCCCAGCAGTTGCGCGCGTCCGCCTCCCCGGAGGTGGACCACCGCTTGTCCGTGCTGCCCCCCACCTCCCGGTGCACCTCCCTGCCGTCTCCGCGCCCCTTCACCCACCCCTCCCTGCCCTCTCTCCCCCTTGCTTCAGCCGCATCTGGGCCGCCAAGCAGTGGCGCGCTTCTACCTGCCGCCCGAGGTGGACTACCGGCTGTCCGTGCTGCCGCCCAAGTACAAGGGTCTTGTGCTCTGGATCGGCGAGGCCAAGGTGCGTGGGGCAGAGCGAGGTGCGTGGGGCAGGCCGACGTGCGTGGGGCAGAGCGAGGCCACGGTGGGCAGGGGAGGAGTGGCGGGATGAGCAGCGCAGGGGGGCTGCGCACTGCAAGGGGCTCGTGGTTTGGGAGGGGCAATGCGCGTTGAACCGGGATAAGCAGCGGGAGGGGGTCGCGCGTGGTATTGGGACGAGCAGCGGTGGGGTGGACGACAGGGGTGGTGCTGTTGACCCAAGAACAGCACGCGGCGAGTCAGGATGTTCTTTGCATCTGAGCTGCGTGGGGGGCTTAGGATTAGTGGGGGGGGGCTTGGGGTGGTGCGAAGGGGCGTCAGCATGGTGTGAGGGGCTGCGGGGACGGTGTGATGCACGCGATTGCGAGGGCCGTGCGCACGTTGTGAGATGCACTGGAGGGCGTGGATCAGCGGATGGCAGGGGCTCCCTGGTCACTGGGTTCAGGGAGGGGCTGCTTGGTCACTGGTGCTTGGTCACTGGTGCTTGGTCACTGGGTTCAGGAGGGGGAAACAGCAGTGGCAGCTGGAAGTCGTGGTCGTGATTCAGCACAGGGAAACTTGATGTTGTGGGGGGTGTTGTGTGCTCTCATCCTCCATCGTGCGACGTGTGTTTAATGCATGGAGGCATGGAGGCATGGAGGCGTGGAGGCGTGGAGGCATGGAGGCGTGGAGGCATGGAGGCGTGGAGGCATGGAGGCGTGGAGGCATGGAGGCGTGGAGGCATGGAGGGATGGAGGGATGGAAGGATGGAGACATGGAGGGATGGAAGGATGGAGGCATGGAGGGATGGAGGGATGGAGTCATGGAGGGAAGGAGGGATGGAGGCATGGTTGTGGTGGATGCGTGCGGTTGGAGGGGGTGGCTGTTGTGTGCACAAGCCGTTCAAGGGTGTCTAGTGTCTCGCAGCAGGAAGCTCGGGCAGTGAGCTCGCCTTTGACCATGCCATGTGCCACGTGCTCGTGGCCATGCCAGGCGACTGGTTGTGACCATCATGTGCCATGTGCTCAGGTGGGATCCAGCCCCCTGTACCCATGGTCGCCCGACCAAGCGTCATCACTCCACCGCACATCCCCTCGTGCCCCCATGGTGGTGTGTCCCTGCCGCGCAGGTGCTGGCGCGGAACGAGCTGCAGTTCCTCACGCTGCTGCCCGTGCTGCGCCCCAACGTCAAGGTGGTCGTCGAGATGGGCAACTCGTGAGTGCTTGCCCGCCCGCCCTGCCCTCTCTCATGCGCCTCCACTCCGCCCTATCACACTCCCTGCTTGCCCCACTTGCTGAAAGATATAGGAGGGCAAGATGGCATGGCTTCCCCTTATTGCTGGCGGCCTTTGCTCCGCAGCTGCTTCTGCGTGTGCAGCTCGAGGCTTAAGGGCAAATTCCTACAGCCTCACGTCAGACTAACTTCGCGTCAGACTCGGGTACACGTGCCAGGTGTGGCAAAAGTTATTTGCGATGCCACGTGTGTACGTTTCACTCGCAATTAACGGTTCACTCAAACCAGCACCACGGAACTTGTCGAAATTTTAAGCGCGAAATTATTTTTGCGCTTTCGCACATGCAAATTGTGAATTCGCTGATGCGGCAAAATTCACGCTGTAGTTCGCCGCTTTCTGCTGGTTCGTTTCTGTGCTTTCCAGCGCGTGCGAGATGTGTCGGCGCTGATGTGCCAACCTGGGCAATTTGATCGTCGTGGTGATGTGCCATTGGTGGCGACGAATTTCCTTTTGGTCGCATGTACTTTTTCACCAAAAACGATTCGCAAGCGCGTGCCTCATGGTCTGACGCGGGCAGCCAATACAGGGAACCTCGCGTCTAACGCGAGGTTAGTCTGACGCGAGGCTGTAGGACCCTAAGTGTGTGTTTCACATGGGGGTGATTGGAACGTTGGTGCGTGGGTGTGTTTGTGCGCGTGGGTGCGTGGGTGTGTTTGTGCGTGTGGGTGGGTGCGTTGGTGCGTGGGTGTGTGGGTATGAGTGCGTGTGTGCGTGCAGGCGCAAGTTCTACTGGAAGCCCATGCAGGAGCTGGTCGGGCTGCCCACGCCTTCCCCCTCGGCACAGGCTGCTCCCGCTGCCACGCCCGCTGCCGACAAGAAAGAGGCCGTGGCTGCTTCCTAAAGCTCATAGCCAGTCCATTTAATGCCGTCAACTTAAAGCGAGAGGTTATAATAGTGACCCATTTTTAGTTGGGCCCAACTTGATGGGTACCCTCGAACAGATATAGGGGGGACAAGCGAGCGAGCAGAAGAAAACGTCGTTTCGGGGTGGGCAGTCACTTAGCAGCAGAAGCACCTGCCCGTGCGACAAATTCGGATATGTGGACGCGGGTGTGTTTATAAACATAATACTAGCTTGCACGCCTCGTTGGGGCTCGTTTGTTACCGTATTTTGTCGACCTCGATTGTGAAATAACTAGTCCAATGTTGTAGAAGACTAAGTATAACACTGTTAACACAAACACTTGGAAATCCTCAAGTGTTGATCCAGGATCTTTACTGGAATGGTAGACTACTAAGACAGCGGAAGTCTTGTAAAAAGTAACAGTTAAGGTTGAATAACCTAAGTACGTGAACTTGTTCTTAGAAACTTAGGACTCAAGGTTCTTAAACTTAGGAGGCTAGGTTGGCTAGAATACTAGGAAGAAGGCCGCCATGGAATGGCGTGAGGAAAACGGATCTAGGAAGGGAGAGTATGTCGAGAAGAACAAGGGGTTTGTTTAGGAAGAGAGAAGAGTACAAGAAGGGGTTTGTACCCTCTACAGAAAGGTTCAGTAACAACCTACCAAGCCTATATTAAATTATAACTTATATAATTGTAACACACCCCCTAGGCTTGGTAGTGTCAAGCCCACGCACACCCCCACACCCACACCCACACCCACACCCCCTAGCCCAGCACCCCCATTCCCAGCAGGAGCCGCAACGACTCCGGAAGAGGGTAGGTCTCACGGCCCCTTGAGACGGCAATGGCGGCAGCAGCGACAGTGACGACGGCGGCGGCGGCGGCGGTGTGCAGCGGCTCCAGGCCTGCGGCATCAGCGGCGGCGCCGGCGGCTCGAACGACAGAGGCTGGTGCGGCGGCCCCCGCCCTCTCGGCGGCATGTCCTGTCTCCTCGGCGGTGGAGAGGTCCCTCACATGGCAGTCATCGGCTGCAGCAAGAAAGGGGGGGATGCAGGGGAAGCAGGTGCAGGTGGGGGGGGGAGGGGAGGGGGCGGGGCGAGGCGAGTCTTCAGCGACGCGCCATAAATGGCGCGGCGCTTACTGGCGGGAGGACGTCGTCCTGAGGGACGCCCGTTTGTGGCGAGCGGGCGGCAGGCCCGGCGACGCCACAGACGTCGCTCGGCCGGCCGCAGCCCGACGATGCCGTCGGCTGCCGCAGACGCCGCCACAGCGCACCGTCAATGTCGCAGCGGCGAGGCGGACGGGCGACGGCTGCACCAAGGGGCCGTCGCAACACCTTGGCGCCGCGACGGTAGGCAACGAGGGACCGTCGCGACATCTTGGTGCCGCGACGGCAGGCAACAAGGGGCCGTCGCGACATCCTGGCGCCGCGACGGCAGGCGACAAGGGGCCGTCGCGACAACTTAGTGCCGCGACGGCAGGCAACAAGGGGCCGTCGCGACAACTTAGTGCCGCGACGGCAGGCAGGCAGAAAACCGCGAAGGCTGCGAATGCAGTAGGAGTACGCAACGGGAACGTAGGGAGAGGGTCCGGTGGACACGACCGGCTCTGATACCATCTTAGAAACTTAGGACTCAAGGTTCTTAAACTTAGGAGGCTAGGTTGGCTAGAATACTAGGAAGAAGGCCGCCATGGAATGGCGTGAGGAAAACGGATCTAGGAAGGGAGAGTATGTCGAGAAGAACAAGGGGTTTGTTTAGGAAGAGAGAAGAGTACAAGAAGGGGTTTGTACCCTCTACAGAAAGGTTCAGTAACAACCTACCAAGCCTATATTAAATTATAACTTATATAATTGTAACACTTGTGAGTAATCAAAGTTAATAATGAAAAGACCTAACAAGGTAGGATTTATAGTTCTAAGAAAAGTACATATTCGCTAATGTACCTGTTCGTCACTATCGCGCTATGCGCTCTAAATGATAATGAAGAGATGCGACTGTTCGCGTGACTGAAACGACTGTCCTCATGACGAGCGCTATTTGCTGATGTCATTCTACGTACTTATGTTCTACAGTAGGATTCGACACTAACTACCCGTATTCCCCCGGATATACGCCCCTAGGTGCTTATAGGGATTATAGTCATAATTTTGGGGGTGCGTTTAATTGGATTTTTTTTATATGGCACGGTGCGTTAAAAACGTTCTTAAGGAAAATTTTGAAACGAACATGAACATGTAGCTAGAACAAATTGCAATCGAATGGAATGCTCCCAAACGGGAACAACCAGAGAAGTCCCGCCAAAATCGCTTCCCAGACGATTGACGCGTCAGCCAAGCAGCACGTTCGCTGCAGTTTGCCAGCGTGCAGGCTAGCGTGGGCGATCCTGGCCATCCGTTCTCTCATCTGACACGGCAGCAGAGCTTTGCCGACCACACCTTCGATGAGTCGGAAGGCCAGGGGTCGATTTTGTGTGATGAAGTGATTCGTCACGTAAACTTGATGCCAAATGTACAGTCAACATAGTCAGTGCGAGATTCCCACGGGGAAAAGGGGGGTGCGTATAGGGATTAGAATCTGGAAAATGGGGGGGTGCGTATCATTGGCACATCCGATATGGCACCCCTCCGGATATACGCACCATGGTGCGTTTTAGCTGGCGGTGCGTATATCCGGGGGAATACGGTACACCTAATCGACTTACAGAAATGCTAAGTATCAATTATATCACAACACTCTATCAAAATTGAGAAGTGAATGAATACATAGAGTGAGAGTACACACAGATATACCTAAGTGTTGTACTCTCTAAGAGGCGACCCTATACAGTCTATACAAACATGACAAATACACATGTTTGACACACCCCCTAGACTGCATAAGGGAATGCCCTAAACAAACAGCTCAGGGCGGCACTACTAGTCCAACCTCTGAGACAAGGGTCTGAGAGACCAGTCAGAAGGAGTACAAACAAGGCAAGAACAAGAGCAGGGCGGCACTACTAGTCCAGCCACTGCGAGAGGACACAAGTCCAGTCTGAGTATACGTATAAAGGACAGTACAAAGTCAAGGTCCTAGCAAGTGAGAGGCTACAGGAACTAGACCAAGCTGTACACAGTGCCGCTGATGATCTTTAGGCGCAAGCGCCTTCGTAAAGATATCAGCCGTGTTGGCACCTGAGGCCAAGTGTACTACGCGAGCCTGACGTCGCTGCTGTAGCTCACGCAGGAGGAAGTACCGCAGCTGAATGTGCTTTGCTCTGCCCTCGAGTCGAGGCTCCTGACACAGGAGGATCATGGCCCTGTTGTCAGCGAACAGGACCGGGGCAGAGCTAGGCCGCTCACCTAAGTCAGTGAGCAAGAAGGTCAGCCAGCGGAGCTCCTGTGCCGCCATGGCACCAGCGTAGATCTCAGCCTCACAGCTGGACTGCGCAACAGACGAGGAGCGGGTAGCTCTCCACGAGACGGCACCTGAGCCAAGGCTGAAGCAGTAGCCCCGGGTAGACCTGAGTGTCTCAGCGTCGTCTGCCCACGAAGCGTCTGTGTGTCCAGTAAGGACCACTGGCACTTCTGTCGTGTCAGCTTCTTCGTGAGGAAATCGGCAGCCATTTTGTTGGTCGAACGGTAGACCAATCACATTCTCCCCTTCTCGACTTCATCCTTGACGAGAAAGTAACGCATAGAAATATGTTTCGTGCTGTTGACGAAACCAGGCTGATGCGCGATGCGAATTGTACTTTGGTTGTCGCACTGTAGGGTAAATTGGGTAGTCATCGTCACCTTCGCTTCTTCCAAAAGTTCGTGTAGGTAAAGTCCTTCGCGTGTTGCTATGCAGACAGCGACGAACTCAGCTTGAGTAGAGGAGAGAGCAATCAACTCCTGCTTCGTCAAATTCCAAGAGATAGGCCCGATAGGTTCAAGTCGATAAATGAACCCAGTACGAGAGCGTCGATAAGGTCATACTGGATTGGCTATCAGCAATGCTCATTTGGAAACAGGAGAGGATTACTTGGGAATACCCGTAACGTTCCCAGATATCCTAACCCATCACCGTGGGATATCTACGCAGCTGAGATTCCTTGACTGAGCAACCACCGAGGGAAACTACTTGGCGCCGATTCTGGAAGTTACCAGCTCCGCGTTTATGGTACCAACCCCTCGCATGGTTCTGAACATAAGGGATACGCTTCGCATCCGATGTTGTACTCGAGGCAGTGTGACTAGCAGATCGCGTGGTGGACAGGGTTACTACAAGTGATTCTGCTCTCCATTCCGCAGCACTACGATGCCGAGTGGGTACGACTCGCGACAACACTAAGGCATGGACCAGCTCGACAGAAGCAGTACTATGACATGACTGCCATACCACCAACACTTGGAGATCTTCATACGTGGACCAGATGCGGGTAACAGCATGCACAGCTCGGACAACATAGCCACTCATCTGCACGTTACAGTATACTGTTCCAACCATTCACATCTCCAACTCCGACTTGCATCTGCCCGTCCTGGAGTTTGACTACAAGTATGCTCCTGACGCCGCTACTGGACAGACACTGTACTTCGTCTGTTACGGACGCCACCCGATCACACCAACAGCTAACCATACCAGCCACAGTCCAACTGGCTTCCGATTTCATCGCCATCGTCCACCATCTTGTACATCGACCACACAAGCGCCCTCTTTGACATCCAACATCAGCACAAGCACTTGGCAACTCATCACTACCCTTCTCGAGACCATAATCTCGACATCAGCCAACTTCCATCCAAGCTTAAACCTTGCTTCTGCGGGTCTATCATCGTTGAAGCAAGGGCCACTTCAGTCAACTTCCGCTTCCGCCTACCAGCCACTTGGAAGATCCATAACACCTTCCATACCAGCTTCTTAAACCCTATAAAGACCAACCACGCTCTACACTGAATGCTAACAATTGTCGTCGCCCGTGTTCATCCACACCATGGGACAACTACGTGCTCAGACACCGTCATCGTCAGACTCGCACTCTGGAGCTTCTTCTTTGCTGGAAGGGTTATGATACTGCTAAGGCTGCGTCTCTTAACTCGACATGGGTAACGCCCGTCGTCCTCTTCGCGACTACCTTGTCAAGCAGGGTGTTACTTCTACCACCCAGCTTTGAGAGGGGGAAGTGTGAGAGTACGACCCCGTTACACTAATTTCCCCTTTCCATATTTTCTATCTATTTCATTCCTCTTTCACTCCTGATTCATTTGGTCTTTATCTCATCTCATTTGGTTTCCTATTCCTCCTTTTCCATTATCCTTTGGTTTATCCTGTTATTATAATTATATCACCGACCAGGCTCGGGATGTAGTGGCGCGCTATATCTAGCGTAATCCTGCAGTAATCCCTTAAAGCCAATAGCCTCGCGTGGCTATACGCAGGGTGATTATATTCCTAGAAGGGTCTATTCCCTTAGGATAAGATAAACCTGGTTACCTGATGTACTCTGGAAGTATAAAAGCACCTTGTACTGATTGATAGTGCAACATTGAGCAAACCTTTCCTCGGGACATTCGATCCTGCGACAGCGTAGGTGCCGGTGGATCTCCAAGATGCCATCTCCTGCTCCATGGCAGCTATCCACTGAGAGGCCCAGGGTCCCGAGGTCGCCTCAGCATAAGTACGAGGGGTCGGGATGTCGAAGGCGTGACGGGAGACTTACTAGACGGAGGGGAGTGACGTGAGACTTACTAGACGGAGCAAGACAGGGTGGGAGGGGAGCAGGGGCTACCGAGGGAGTGGGTACCAGAAACAGGGTAGGGGAAACTGGGAGACCTCGGTGAGGAAAGCGGTCGTAAAAGGAGAGAGACTCGTCAAAGGTGGCATCATGGGAGTGAATAAAAACAATGAGACGGCGTGTGGTAAAAGTGCCAGTCAGAGGAGTCAAGGGGGAAACCGAGGAAGACACAGGGGACAGTGCGGGCAGTGAGATTGTCCGTGCTAGAGGCACAAACGTTAGCGAGGCAGCCCCAGACGTGGAACGCGGACGCGTCACCAGGGAACCCGGTCCAATGTAGGGTCGGCGAAACCTGCGGCCGCTGGGAGCGCAGCCAGAGGTTAAGCTGATGAGCTGCGTAGCGAACGACGAACGGCCATAGAAAATGGGTTGCATCGGCATGAATCATAGAGGTACGAGCTACCTCCATGACCAAACCGATGCGTCGCTCAGCGACCCCATTCTTTTGCGGGGAGTCCGGTAGGGTGTACGAATGGGTGATGCCCCCCGCTTGACAGAACTGTCCAAGCCGACTAGAGGCGAACTCGCCGCCATGATCGGAGTGGAGACACAACACAGGGAGACTGCGGTGGAGGCGTGTAGTGACGACCCACGGGATAAGAACGTCAGGCACGTCGGCCTTCCGCTCTAGAGGAAACACCGTGGTGTAGCGCGTGAAGTCCTCGACGAGCACGAGGAAGTAGCGCTCGCGATGCGGTCCGGGGACGGGGGCTGGGCACTTGACGTCCAGGTGCAAGGTATGGAGGGGTGCGGTGGCAGGACAAAGCAAGGAGGAGTGAGGAGCACGGCAGAGCCAGCCCTCGACACACGGCATGCACGATGGCACAAGCGAGGGAGGGAGGGGAGGAAACAACACAGGGAGGCCTAGGACGAGACAGTGCTGGGACTTGTAACGCAGATGCGGGAGCGCGGGGTGACCTAGGTGGTGGTGCCACAGAAGCGACGGGTGAGTGAGCGACCGACACGAGCACGCAGCGGCGACCTGGGTACACGCAGGACCCGAGGGGATGGTCCACTCGGGGGGGAAGCAGTGTCCAGCGTAAAGAGGCTAGAGACCGGGTCCTGGGGGAACGTACCAAGGGGGGAACCTGAGGTGGCCTCGGTACAGACCGCGTACCGCTTGTGACTCGGGAATGTAGTGGTGACGCCGAGGTCCTGAAGACAGCCGACACCAACTAAGTTCCGGGAGAACGAGGGGATGTGCAGGCCTGTAAGGAAACCCGAGGGAACCGCTGGACAGGGAAGGGAAGTGTAGCTGCGACCAACTACAGGACCAGAGGAGGGGTCAGGAAGGGCGACAACGGCAGGCGGGGCAAGCGGCGTAAGTGCAGCGTGGTCGTGGAAGAAGCAGGCAGACGCACTGAAGTCCAGTGTGAAGGACAGCGAAGCAGAACCGGCAGCCAAAGAAGGAGCGAGTGTGGAGCCTAGGCTAGACAAAGCAAGGGTCAGTAGAAGCATCAGCATACAGAGAATGCAAGGCAGAACTAATCTGATCCATGTCTAAGTCAAATACAGAGGCACACCGTGGCGCAGCAGACTGGGTTAGTCGGGGAGGTCCGGGGCCGGGCCGAAGCGGCAATGGAAGAGGTCGTCGAGGCGGCGGAAGCAGCGGGCGGTTGGGTGCGGGCGGTAGCACACAGTGCCACAAAGGGGCCCGGTGTGGTGCTGGTAATGGCAGCCCATACCACTTAAGCTGCCAAGAGATGCTGAGCTGCAAGGGCCGCCGCCGCGGCCACCACCTCCAGGTGCTCCCGGCCACCCTGGCGGGAGGCGGGCCCATGGCTGCGGCTGCTGCTGCTGCTGCTGCTGCTGTTGCGGCTGCTGCTGCTGTTGCGGCTGCTGCTGCTGCTGCTGCTGCTGCTGCTGCTGCTGCTGCTGCTGCTGCTGCTGCTGCTGCTGTGGCTGCTGCTGCAACTGCTGTGGCTGCTGCGGCTCTTGAGCACCCATCCTAGCCCCCTTGTCAGAACCACTGTCACCACCACCACTACCACCACCACGCCCTCCCTTGGGGCCGTGACGGCCCCGACGATGGCGCTGCAGCTGCGGAAAGGCCGCCGCTGCGGTCTCAGGAGCAGGAGCAGCCGTGGTGACCGCAGCGGAGACGTCCACGTACGAGCACTGGGAGGGAGCACAGCCGTGAAAGATAGGGACTGTCGCAACACCGCTCGACTGGGCGATAGTGCGCTGGCGAGTCTCTATCTCAGCAAGGGCGTCTACAAAGTCGGTCAGGGTGAGGTCACATGGGTGGTTGCTAAGGAAGTGGTCGTGGGCAATGTCTAGGCAGTCAGGGAGGCGCATGGCAATAAGGTACAGTGTAGCGCAGAACGGTGAGGGGAAGGCAGCGAGCTGGGTAGTAGTGCTAGCGGCGCGGCAGCTTGTACACAGAGGTGAGTGGTAGGATCGGCAATAGTGGGGAAAGCAGAGAGATATGGGAAGAGCATGGGGAGGATCATGCGGCCAGCTGAGGCAGAGGCAAGCGTGGAGTAGCGGGCAACTACATCATCTAAGAAATCTTGGGCGTTCGCGACAGTAGTGAAACGCGGACGCTCAGAAAGGGGAAGGGCATGGCTAATGGCAAGCTGTGCGACAGCATCTCGAGAGTCCCAAACAGCGCGAGCGAGCGCAGCAGCAGCAAAGGCCTCACTCTCAGCAGTGGTAGGGGCAGCAAGAAAGGGAACAGGGGCTGGGGGGCGGGGAAGCAAGCCATCAACATGCATAGCCAAGGAGTGCCCATCCTGGCGCTGACCTGTCAAGTGCCGGAGGAGATCGACAAGCCAGGCGGCGAAGTCGATCGCGTGTCCCTCCGCGTCCAGACGAAGCATGTCGTCCGCCATCGCTCAACCACCGCAGCGCAGCGGCACACGGACACAGCGGCATGGCGGCACAGGGACTCAGCGACACGGTGGCACAGGGACTCAGCTACACGGCGGCACAGGGACTCAGCGGCACGATGGCACAGGGACTCAGCGGCACGGCGGCACAGGGACTCAACGGCACGACGGCAGGACTAGCCGAAACTGATAGGAAAGGATAGACCAAGGAGGGTGCGTGAGGAGTCGAGGCGCACACGGGGCCATCGTGTAGATAGGAGCCCGCAGAACGCTAGGAGGTAGGGGCCGGCTAGGGTGGTAGGGGACGGCTAGGAGGTAGGGGCCGGCTAGGGACGAGGGGCCGGCTGGCGCGAGGGGCCTGCTAGGTGTGAGGGGCCAGCGAGGTGCGAGGGGCCAGCTAGGCGGAGGTACCGGCTAGGCGCGAGGGGCTGGCTAGGCGTGAGGGGCCGGCTAGGTGCAAGGGGCCAGCTAGGGTGCGAAGGGACCAGCTAGGGCACGAGGGGCCAGCTAGGGCGCGAGGGGCCAGCTAGGGCACGGAGGGGCCAGCTAGGGCGCGAGGGGTGGGCCGGCTGGACGCGAAGGGGCCAGCTCGGCTCGAGGGGCGGGCGACGGCGCGGGGGGCCAGCTAGGGCGCGAGGGGCCGGCGAGGTCGCGAGGGGCCAGCGAGGTCACGAGGGGCCAGCTAAGGTCACGAGGGGCCAGCTGGGGCGCTAGGGGCCGGCTGGCCGCAAGGGGCGGGCGACAGCGTGCGGGGCCAGCTAGGGCGCGAGGGGCGGGCCGGCTAGGCGCGAGGGGGCGGGCCGGCTGTTCGCGAAGGGGGCGACGAGAACGCTAGGGGCCGGCTACGGCGCGAGAGGGTAACGGGCGCGCTAGGGGCCGGCGAGGCGTGATAGGCTAGGGCGCGGGGCGGAAGGGGGTGGGGGGGACCTAACCTATGCATGATACCATGTTAGAATACTAGAATGAATGAAAACAAGAGAGAACAAGCAAGGTGTAGGGTTGGAGTTGTACTCTCTAAGAACAAACACCTATCTAGCCTATAACTTCTACATAATAACATATGTATAAGTTGACACTTAGGTACAACAAGGCTTTTACCTTATAAGAGTTTATACATGCACGCATAATGATCAGGGCCTACTTTTGGATTTTTACTACTTTGAAATCCAGGAGTGGCTCTTTTCATCTCTCTGAAAATCAGAGTGCTCTGTCAACATATAATTGTACGGTTTATGTTATAGGCTAGATAGGTGCATGCTCATTGAGAGTACAACACATTAGATCATATCCCCTTGTATCCCCTCATTCTAGTCAATTTGTTACCTTGAGATGGTATCACGCTAGGCCAGGTCCTCCCCACCCACCCGCGCTTCTGCCCTAGCCCTAGTCAGAGTCCTAGTCATAGTCTTAGCTCTTGCTCTAGCCTTAGACCGAGCTCGTAGGCCCGCGCTCGTCGCCCCGCGCTCATCTCCCCACGCTCGTAGGCCCCGCTCGTCACCCCTAGGGCTGACGTTTAAAAAAAAATCCCCCTGAGCTGTCCAATGGGATTTTTTTTTTTACCCTGAAGGCCTGGTGTTGAAATTTTGGCTACCCTGATTTCTCATTGTTCTGGAAAATGCAACCCTGAAACCTCCAGGGTTGGCTAGCCACAAACAGGGTTGCATTGCACTTGCAAAAAATCAACTAAGAGAACGTTCGGATAGGACAGCTAGTAGTTCGGCAAAAGCACCACTACGCCAGTCTACAGATTCAGTTCAGTCCAATATCTAGACTTCACAAGATTCCACGCCACTAGCTACCCTTGACTAAAATTCTGGGCCATCCATGTTCACTTCATCCTCTGCCTCGTCGTCGGACAGAAACGGGTTGTCTTCCACTACAGGAGCCTCCCCCACCTCTACCCCCTCCTCTCCCTCATCCTCTACCCAATCCCCCATGAAGTCGGGGACTGCCTCCTCCTCCACCCTCCGTTCTGCCCCCTCCATCGCCTTGGCCTTACGCTTCCTCTCCGCTGAGGCAAACAGAACAGACTTAGCAGGGCGCCTCAGCATCTCGCGCCAACACTCAAGGGCCTCGTCCTAGTCAATCTCATACTGCAGCAGGGAAATGACCATCAGCTCGCTGAGGCGCGCATTGCACAACGCGCCCCCCACCCATGACTTGATGACCGTCTGCCGCGAGAAGCCTCGTTCACACTCCACTGTACTAAGTGGCAGGACAGCGCACGCCTGCCACAAGCGCATCAGGTTGGGCCAGCGCCTGCCAAAAGGGTTGGGGGAACAGAGTGCAGAGAACAAGACCAGTGCATTAGTACAACTAGTCAACAAGCGATAAACAACATCCGGTTGTGCGCCTGTTACTCAATAGAGTTCCAAGGGGAAGATTAGAAGCGGCCTGAAGACATGTAACTAAGGTCCTTCGAACAGAAGTCACTCACAAGTTCGACTCCGTCGAGCCCAGGTAGTTCATCAGGCCTCCACCTCAAGAGCGAGCGTGGCCAAGATAGACACACTCAAGCACTTTGGAGGTGAGCTTTCTTGCTTGCGCTTTGGAGGCGCAGTGGTGACAGACTGGCATTGAGGGTGGGGATAAAGACTAGTGAAATAAGCAGCATGGACGAGGCATGGCCCCAGAGGGAAGGATGGGTGGAGGCATGAGTGAGAAGGCAGCGGTCTGTCTTGGTGATCTCAAGGATGCGGCTCTCAACAATACGTTCTGCTGAGGGGAGTGAGCAGGGGCGTGAGTCTGCTGGATCCCATGGGTTGAGCAGCAGGAGGAGAGGGTGCGTTTGAGAAACTCACCACCGCCATCAGAATGGAGGTGACAGACGGGGCAACCAAAGTGGTCACGGCACTGCTCGGCCCAGGCAACGATGACAGCAGGTGCCTCGGCCTTCGTGTGGAGAAGGAACACCAAGGAATACCTGCTGTGGTCATCGACGAGGAAAAGCATGTACCGGTGCCCCTGTCGGCAAGGAGAAGGGTTAGGGCCCCATAGATCCATATGGATGAGATCAAGGTGGGCAGTAGCAAAGGAAGGGTGACTTAGGTGAGACTAATGCTTCAGCTTGCCATGAATGCATGTGGCACATGGGGGAGCGGGAGATGACGGGAGCGGAGGAAGAGTGGGGGGAAGACTGTCAAGCAAGCGAGAGGAGACAGCTTTGCGAAGTGCGGGAAAGTTCATATGACCGAGGCGATAGTGAGTGAGAACAGCTGGGTGAGACAGTGCGCGACTGGAGCATGGGGAGGGGATGGAGAGGGGAGAAGGCGGGTCAGGAGGGAGGGGCGGGGGAAGAGTGGAGGTGCCTGCATGATTAGTGACATGACATGAGTTGGGGCGAGGTGTGCTGAGAATGTATTGGCTTGGGCAAAGTGGGAGGCGATGAAGGAGGCAACCAGTGGGGCCATGGAGGAGGTCAGAGTAGGTGGCAGAGGCAGGGAACATGGTAGTGATGCCAGCCTGCTGGAGTTCACGAATGGAGAGAAGGTTATGGCGAAGAGAGGGAATGTGGAGACCACTGACAACTCCGGAGGAGAAGGGGGAGCAGGGGAGGGTGGAGAGGTGGGTGCAAGGGATGGAGAAGCTGGAGTCAGCACCATGAACAATGGTGGGGAATGGGAGGGAAGTGAGGGTGCTAGCATCCTCGATGGCGGTTTCAGTGGCACCACTATCGAGGAAGAAGTCCAAAATGGGGGATGGGGGAGTGGGGAGGGAGGTGGTGTGGACAAGGAAGAAGGGAAAGAATGTGAATGAAATGCCGTAGAGGTAGGAGTGAGATGTGTTGTGTGATGTCATCATATGCTATCACATTCTGTCTGCCTCCCATCCCATGTTTTCAACTTGCATGTGTGGTTTCAGCGTGTGCAAGAATTTGTGTGTGGTGTGTTCTGGATTTTGGGAATGTTTTCTGTGTTATTCTTGTTTGAGCAGGTATTTAAGATGATAGATCTTGAGAAGATCTTTCTGACGCGATAAGAATCGCCTCAATCGGAGCAAGAACGCGAAAGCTATGAAGATTCAAAGTTCATGAGCTTGCGTTACAATTTGCGCGGTTACAAAGTGATGTTGTGGGGTGACTTTATATGGAGTTGGGACCTTTGGGGTTGGGAAAATTCGTCACTC